ACGGGGACACGCGTGTGGCCGGGCACACACAGCCCTGCACAGGCTGGGGACATGCCAGGGCTGTACACAGCTGCAGGGACATGCTGGGGACACGCGTGTGGCCGGGCACACACAGCCATGCACTGGCTGGGGACATGCGAGGGTCACGCACAGCTAAAGGGACACGCTGGGGACACGCGTGTGGCCGGGCACACAGAGCCATGCACAGGCTGGGGACACATCAGGGTCACGCACAGCTGAAGCGACACGCTGGGGACACGCGTGTGGCCGGGCACACACAGTCATGCACACGCTGGGGACACGCCAGGGCTGTACACAGCTGCAGGGACACGCTGGGGACACGTGTGTGGCCGGGCACACACAGCCCTGCACAGACTGGGGACACGCCAGGGCCATGCACTGCTGCAGGGACACGCTGGGGACACGCGTGTGGCCGGGCACACACAGCCCTGCACAGGCTGGGGACATGCCAGGGCTGTACACAGCTGCAGGGACACGCTGGGGACACGTGTGTGGCCGGGCACACACAGCCCTGCACACGCTGGGGACATGCCAGGGTCACGCACAGCTAAAGGGACACGCTGGGGACACGCGTGTGGCCGGGCACACACAGCCCTGCACAGGCTGGGGACATGCAAGGGTCACGCACAGCTAAAGGGACACGCTGGGGACACATGTGTGGCCGGGCACACACAGCCATGCACAGGTTGGGGACACTCCAGGGTCACGCACAGCTAAAGGGACATGCTGGGGACACGTGTGTGGCCGGGCACACACAGCCCTGCACAGGCTGGGGACATGCAAGGGTCACGCACAGCTAAAGGGACATGCTGGGGACACGCGTGTGGCCGGGCACACACAGCCATGCACAGGCTGGGGACATGCAAGGGTCACGCACAGCTAAAGGGACACACTGGGGACACGCGTGTGGCTGGGCACACAGAGCCATGCACACGCTGGGGACATGCAAGGGTCACGCACAGCTAAAGGGACACACTGGGGACACGCGTGTGGCCGGGCACACACAGCCATGCACACGCTGGGGACACGCCAGGGTCACGCACAGCTGCAGGGACACGCTGGGGACACGCGTGTGGCTGGGCACACAGAGCCATGCACACGCTGGGGACACACCAGGGCCATGCACCGCTGCAGGGACACGCTGGGGACACCCCCGTGCAAGACATCACACAACGGCACTGGGGACAGGCCACAGCGGCTGGACCCCAGGTGCACCCCAGGACCGGGGGACCCCCCCTTCCGCCCCGCGGAGCAGCTCCGAGCGCAGCCGGGAGGAAACAACCTCCCCGTCATCCCCCGCCGCTTCCTGCCGCGGGGACCGGCAGCACCCACGGCACCGGCGGCGGGCGGGGGCACCCACAGCACTGGGGAGGGGGCAGCACCCACAGCACCGGCAGCGGGGGCGGGCGACGCTTTATTGTCCCCAAGGGGACAGCTCAGGGGCTCACGGGGTACGCGGAGGCCACGAAGCGCTGGCCGTCCCCGTAGAAGGAGTTGGTCCAGGAGTAGGTCTGGATGCGGGCGGCTTCGCCCCCCAGGCTCACGTGGCACCTGCGGGGGGGACACGCGGTGACGCAGGGACCCCTTCCATGGGGAGCCCTGGGGAGGGGGGGTCCGCGGCCGCCGTGTCCCCCCCGCCACCRCACTCACAGGCGGTCCGGGCGGGCTTTGAAGCAGAGCGTGTAAAGGGCCAGGTCGAACTCGGGGCTCGAGCCCACCAGGACGGAGCCGACGCTCTTGAGGTAGCTGCTCCAGCGGAACTGCAGGGCCAGCACGTCGGGGAAGGACGGCCACTGCGGGCAGGGGACACGCTGGGCACGGCCGCGGGGGCACGAGGGCGGCCCCGCTCCGTCCCTCCCCACCTCGCGGGGCAACGGGAACCACGGGCACTGTCAGGTGGTGACGGGGACCCCCAGGTCGCTCACGGAGGGACGGGGACCCCGGGGATGGGTGGACGGAGAGGGACCTTGGGGGTGGCCAGGGGAAAAGGGGACGTTCTCTGGGAGGTTAGGGACCGCAGGGGTGGCRTAGGGGCACACAGGGTCCCCGGGGGCACGCGCGGTGGGGTCGAGGCGCTGGGGGCTCCCGGGGGGGTCCAGGGGCCGTGTCCCCCCGCGGTGCGCGGCCCCGCGCTCACGGGCCCGTCGTAGCTGTAGCTCAGGTAGTTGAGCTGTCCCGACTTCTCCAGCTCGTAGAGCTGCACCCAGCTGTGGCAGCC